GATCCGAAGCAGGCTCTGCACTGACAGCAGTGAGCCCGACATGGGGCTCCAACTCACAAACCATGAGATCGTAACCTGAGCCAAAGTCGGACGCTTAACCAACTGGGCCACCCAGGCGCCCCTTCACTACTTAGAGAATTCACTAGTCTGGACTGGCCAATACCATTGGCACCTATTTTCATATTGAGTGGGACCCAGCTAGACCAAGTTCCTCGCCATCTTATTTTTAGAGAAAAAAAATGAAGGTATTAAGTAACTAGGTAAGCTAACGTGTAGATTAGATGAGTGCAAATTTCTACCCAGCGTTGGTTCCTGAGTAACTAGAGGAGGCCACAGAAAAGCTGCTGTTTTCCAGGCTCTGGAAAAACATCACATATGGTTTGATTCCATAATAATAGTTCCAAGCTTAAAAAAAAAAAAAAAAGTTGATTATAGCAGATTTTTACCTCTTTCCGTGTTTTCCTTTAAAAAATAACCTAGAAACATTAAACCCAACAGTTCTCTTTGTTCTTTTTCCTCTCTGGCATGCTCTCTCCCTCAGCCTGGGGTGTGGCACCATATGACGTCCCGTTGAGATGGCCCCACCCACTCTCCTGGTGTGGAAGTGGATCCCCGGCCACAGACCTCCATGGGACCCCCACTGCTACACCACCCCTGTCATTAACCAGCCACACGCTCCCTCCTGGTGAAACCCAAATTAGGGAGTGGTGGAGATCAGCCTCAGTTACTTACGCACAGTTTGAAGGTAGTTCCCCAAAGACTGTTTCCTTCCGAGACCTGTCCCTTTGAGAATGGGACTAGCCTTCTCTGAGCATGTAGGAACATTACTTAAACAGTTAAATTCTAAACACCCGAGCTTTCTGACTTGAACATGACAAATGATCAAAGAACAAAAGGGTTCACTTTTTCCCCTCCATCTTGTAACCTTTTTTTTTTTAATGTTTATTTATTTTGAGAGAGAGAGAGAGTGAACAGGGGAGGGGCAGAGAGAGAGGGAAACAGAGGATCTAAAGCAGGTTCTGTGCCGACAGCAGGAGGCCAGTGTGGGGCTCGAACTCACAACCCGTGAGATCGTGACCTGAGCCAAAGTCGGACGCGCAACTGATTGAGCCACCCGGGCGCCCTAACTAACCTCTTACTTTTTATTTAGGTTCTAATCTTAGAAATAACTACATCCTGCTCTCATGTAGCTTATCACTAGAGTGTTTCACGTTACCCTGTTTTGTCTATGTTACTGCATTTTAAATTTGCTGAGTCTCTCGTAGACATTATTCATTTACTCTTAATGACTTTAAGGTTGGACTCGTTTTTCCTCTCATTTTGAGGATGAGGAAACTTCCCAGTAGCAGAGACGGTAACTGAATCCAGCCTTGGTTCCCCTCTTACCCATGGAGAGATGGGCAGACTCTTCTCAAGGTGCAGAGAAGTGAGCAGAGAGCACTAAGGGGCTGGCCCGAGATGAGAGCCTTCGGCAGGACTGGCCCCAGAGCGGCCTTCCGATTCCCACGTGACCCTCTTTCTATTTTAATCGCTCTGTCGGGAGCCACTGTCCTTGATGTTCTTCCTCTGTGTCACGTTTCTGTAACAGCCTCCCTTGTATTTGAAGCTGAGGACAGGAAGCATGTCTGTTATGGGTGAAAGTGCTTCTCCTGAGACTTTGAAGATTTTTTTTCCTAGCGGAAGCCCGTCTGCAGCCTTCACAAACAATGGCCTGGGCTAGAAAGTTCAGTTAACTGATTTCCCGCAAACTAATGGTGTTACTCGGTTAACCTGACTGAAGGCAGCCGGTTATTATGACTTAGGTGTGGAATCAGATCTTATCCCCCTGCTGTTCTGCTATAGGGAAAAAAAAAAAAAAGCTGATGAAAGGTGAAGATTGAAAACATGTTATGAGAATAAATTTTTTTTCTCTGTTTCAACATTAGTTTTTGAATCTGTTTTAAGATAATCTATCCAAAGATACATTAGAAACGCATCTTTTAATGTCTGGAGGAAAACACGGCATGATGTGTTTCTTGATCACTAAGCAACAGATCAATATTTACCTAGTGATTCACTTTTTTTTGTTCTCAGGAAATGTCTGCTTTCAGTGAAACCCGGCAGACTAAAGCTCAGTTCAGAATTGGGAGAAAATCTAGATGATGCTACAAATCTCCACTTTTTTCTGAATTAAAAGTTTAATGCATATGCATTTTCTGAAACTGAAAAGTAAAGTAAACCACACGAAAATCATCTATCAGTCTCCTACTCAAAGTTCCATCCCATTACTCCTTGGGTGATCATCCCTGTGGGTTTTTTTTCTTCCGTAGAGACTTTCCCCCGCAAAATCAGGGGTCTGTCTGTATAGCATTGGGTGGCCTGCTTTAATACTGAGTATGCCATGGACACTTGCCCATGCTGCTATGTATTTTCTAACACTTGATTTTTTAACAGCTGGAGAATCCTGTCAACCATTCAAATTTCTAGTGGCTGTTGGCCGCAGTGGTACAGAGAAAAAGCCGTGAATTGAAATTTGGCCTGGGATGGAAACCTCGGTCTTCTACACGAGCTGCGGAAACCAGGACCAAGTGACAGCCTTCCTGGCCCTTGCCTTCCTTCTGTGTAAAATGAAACAGGCAGCGCTCCCATGGTGCCCTTCGGCATGAGCAAACTGCGTCTAGTACCACTGTTGTCAACCACGCATCAGAGAAGTCCTCTTAGATGAAGGACCCTGGGGGTGGGGGTCCTGGCTCTAGAGTAAGGACGAGAATGCAAAGAGAAGGTTTTCTTGTGTATCTGCCTTCTCCTACCTGTTTCCATCCCCCATGTTCTAGGATGGGCTGGCAGTAGCCCCCTTGGGCTTTGGCTTTTTTAAGGACTTTTTTTTCCCCCGGTGTTTTTTGTGCATATGTGTTTATTATGTAACATAATTGATTGATGCATACAAACTGGCCACTTGAAAGTTTCAATTAGAGGGGCGCCTGGGTGGCGCAGTCGGTTAGGCGTCCGACTTCAGCCAGGTCACGATCTCGCGGTCCGTGAGTTCGAGCCCCGCGTCGGGCTCTGGGCTGATGGCTCGGAGCCTGGAGCCTGTTTCCGATTCTGTGTCTCCCTCTCTCTCTGCCCCTCCCCCGTTCATGCTCTGTCTCTCTCTGTCCCAAAAATAATAAAATAAAAACGTTAAAAAAAAAAAAAAAGAAAGTTTCAATTAGAAACATATCTCATATAAAAAATTCCATTGATAAATGTAATGCCATTTCATCGTGTGTAGCATCATAACATATTTAACCAGTTTCCTATTTTATTGGGCATTTCTCTTTCCTTTTTTACATCCTTGTAATTATAACCATTGCGATGGTGGATGCATATAGAGATCTGATTGCTTCCTAGGGTAAATTCTTGTTAATATATTTGCTGTATAAAAAGAAGTACTCAGTTTAAGGAATTTTACATATTTTGCCAAACTGTTTTCCAGAGGAATTTTTACAGTTTATTTAGTTTATTTATTTTGAGAGCAAGAGAGAGAGAGAGAGTGTGTACATGAGCAGGGGAGGGCCAGAGAGAGAGGGAGAGAGAGAGAGTCCCAAGCAGGCTTCACAC